GAACCCGTAACTGTTTGATCTGGTTGCAGTGGAAAAGAAGGCTGACTACAAACCATAGGTGAGGTAAGGTCCTTTTCCATTCCCCCTTGCAGCAAAGATTCCTCCTGTGAGCCTGGCAACACTCTCACCCCTAAACTCTTGACAGACCCCTCGAAAAATTCCGTCACTGTCTCCTCCCTAAGCTTCATAGACATGCTCTCACTTTCTAAAACAGGGAAAACATTTCCCAAATCTTTCCATCCAAAGCCCCTAACTCTTCTTGCCTTCTCCCTCTCACAACTTCCCTCTTTCTCACCCCCAGAGCACTCCGCCACCACCCTGTTTGGACAGGCCTGTTTGTCTTCGCGCATGCATTCCTCGAACAAAGATAACAGGTCCCCCCTCTTCTAATTTGTCAATAGACCCCACCATCCAAGTCTGTCTCGAATCAACTCTTTTTAGTGGCACACTACCAATGCCAAAGCTTGCAGCTGAGGAAAAATCATCTTCCTCATCTGCATCCACCTCCACATCAACACTAAGGTTTTGAGGATTTCTTTTTTCTAAAACCACCCCTCACCGAACCTTCTCCATACTCGATGTCGTCATTCTAGCAGTAGCACAAACTTCCTCATGAAATCCCTCCTCTACCAACTCCTTTTCACTGGTCACAATGGTCTCTTTCGACTTATCCTGCCCCAAGCCTTCTTGAGCTGGATGACTTTGCCCCTAACCCAACTCGCTCTTCTTCGGATTCGAAGAACTTGAGTGAACCACATTCTGGAAGGTCGGTCTTGCTAACCCAATCTTTGGTTCTTTTGGATCCAGCCCAAAGTTTTTAACTCCTTTTTCCCTTGCAGGCCCCACACTTGCATCTCTTCTTATAACTCCTCTTTCCTTTTCTTCATCGAGCACAAACTCAGAACCCCTCATCCTTTTTTGAGCACTCTCCCTTTTCAACCAAGACAAGAACATTGCCTTTTGGTCTCACTTTGTTAGGGAAACACAAACTCTAAAACACTAAAGTGGTATTTCATAAGCCACCTTTTTCGTCTTCCTTTGAAACATTTCTGTTTTTTTGCATTTCCCTCCAAACTCCCCACCGCCTCCGTACCACGTTGACTACCAGTGCCCCTGCTCTACGCAGGCCTCTTGACTCTCCCACCTCTGTTTTGTTCCTCTTCCCCTCATCGGACCAGAGCTTCCAGCGCCATAGAAGGCCAAGCATCTGTGAACAGACCCCCAAAAATCTCAACCGCAACCATGAAAACCTTGTCATCTTCCTTCACTTCCACCCATCTTGGAATTTTACAGGGGGAATCGACAAGGACTTTGATCATTGCCCATCGCAGATTTTGTAGAGTTATTGTTTCTTTACAAGCTTCCACAAACTCCCCACAACAATCTCCAATTGTCTTCAAAACTTGGAGGCTCCACAAGTGAAAAGGGAGCCCTCGAATCCTAATCTCCAAGACCCCAATTTGCCAACTTATCGCATTCACTTACTTTTTCCAGGGCAACAACTTGAACCATCCCTGTGTAGAATAACCCCACTGGTTCATGTACTTCACTGCTTTCTTCTTTAGCTCCGGGCACAAGATCATTTCCACCTTCTCTTTAATAGGTAGGATCCTTAGGTGTCCATTAATTTTGAAAATGGCCATGATATTTTGTCTTAGTGATTGCCAATTCGGTCTACCCTCCACCTCACACATCAAAGTCTCTTCCCATGATTCAGCGTACACAGCCCTTGGGAAGGTAGCATTTTGCACTCTCCTTGTTTCAACACTGAAATATTTCTTTTTTTTTTTTTGTTTAGCAGAACTTCTTTGTATGGAAATGCAGGTTGCGTACCTGCCTCAATCCAAGTGGTCACTGGTGCCTTGTGATTTTTCTCCACCACCTCTAGATTGAACCATCAACTCTTTCCGCTAAGTTTCAAGGAAGCTCACCCAACCCCTGTTCTGCTTGCCCAGCGGGATACACAGTTGCACACTGATTTAGAATTTACTTTGCCAAAGAATTCTATAAGGACCAGGTGTCTTCCTTTGTTGTTTTGCTTTGTTTCTGGGGAAAAAGAGTAGCCCTTGTCAGCCATTTTGCTCCACTTTTTAACCAAAGTATCCAGTAGAGCTTTTTCCATGAAATCACAGAACCAAAACAAGGCCTCTCTTGTGAGGTAGACAAAACTCCTGCCGGACTCCATGATTTTGAGCATCTCATTGCCAGCTGATCGCAAAGGTTTAAAGAAAAAGGTTATGGATTCAATTTGCAAAGCCATGAGGAGAAAAAGGTTCAACAGCCAGAGAAAAAGCAAAAGACAGAAAAGGGAAGGAAACAGAGACAAAGGAAAAAGACAAAGGGAAGAAGGAGAAAAGCCATAAACAAGGGGATTCAGTAATGGGAGTTGCAGAGAAGTAAGAAAAAGCCTTAGGGAAGAAAGAGGGCAGCAGAAGCTAGCAAGAGTTCCTCAGAATTGCGATGCCGGAGTCAGGAGCGTCTCTGCCAGTACATTCCCATTTGAGATGCACAGCTCATTGTACATGACGATACTTGTATATGCTGATCAATAGAAGAATGAAATATAATACTTTACCTTTTCTCAAAAAATAAATAAATAACTGTTTTTTGGATTAACAGCACCCAAATATGACCATAATTAGGTATGATAACACATATCCATCATTTTTAAGTAGCCTCATGCCCTCCGCAAAATGATTTGAAATCAGCCTAAATATTAATGGTGTTGATCCCAATATCTGTGACTAGTCAATATGCTCTGGGATAAGAGAGGAGTTAATCACATTTATTCAGTTCTGTAACCCCAAAGTATGTAACATCCATGTATGTTATTTATCTTCCCTAGTAAAACTCTTCTTCCTATATCCCTTATCTGACATTTTACATTATCTCCAACCACGGAATCAGTATCATTTTGTTTGACATGTAATTAGACTTGAAGGCAAAAGACTGGATAAATTGTTCTCATTTCTCTGCTCAGAATGTTCCCTGATCAGGCATACAATGTCCCTTTCTGTACTTATTTTCTTCCTCTCGTTTCCCACCTAGCTTAATGGCCTTCTATGAATAGAAGTGCATTTAGAGCATGGTTTCAAATGTCGCCAAATGTCACTAATGTTGCCCGACATATGTCGATGTTGAGGCTCAACGACATGAAAATGGATGGTAATATAAAAATTACATTATGTCGGTCGACATTTCCTATATTTCGCAAATGTCAACCAAATCAGTCCAAATAACCAAAAAAAAATACAGTTTTTCCTATTATGTCGACAAGATGTTGACAGGATGTCAACTAATGTACATTAAAAATATAATATATTAGTATATTATATTAATATAATACAGTATATTAATATATATTATTCCATTAATATTTCTATTTAATATTTCAAATAAAATATTTATAAAAAGAATTAACAATATATAAAAACAAAAGAATAAATTAATTACTTTATAATATAAAACATAAAATATTTTTCAAGTAATAAAATATTAACTAGTTAGTATTTTTTAAAATATTTATTAAAATCAGAAAATGTTTATTAAAT